CTGCCCAGAAGACGACTTTATTAGTCGTCTGCTTAGGGCCATAGTTAAAATCCTAATACCAGTTTAAATAAAAATCATAATAATTAAAATAATCACAATAGTAAACCCATGACACATCACCCATTAATGCTCTGTGGGGGAACCAGGTTCAGAATAATGTCAGTAAAGGAGGAGAGAACAGCCCGGGGCCGGGCTACCTAGTCTGGAAAGGCCTGCCGGAAGAGATCCATCATGACAGCCTTTTTGAAAGTGTCCAAAGATGTTAACTGATGGATCTCGTCCAGCAGGTCGTTCCAGAGTCTGGGGCGAAAACAGAAAAAGCCCTCTGGGAGGTTGTGGATAGCCTAGATCTTTGTGGCTCTAAAAATTTCCTCCCAGAGGACCGGAGTGTGCGGGGGGGATTGTACGGGAGGAGGCGGTCTCTGATATAGCCCTTAATGAGTTTTTACAAGGTTTGTGTTTTTTTAAGTCATACTCTTAGTATATGATTAGAATCATGAGCATTTTATTTTATATTTTGCACACAGTATAGTATTTTGTATTCATTTTCCCAAAAAGATGGGGGCAAATCTTGAAAATTTACTTTTCAGAGTCCCAAGTTCCCAAAGTAGTTATTGTTACATGTTTAAATAAAACCTTTTTTCTTTCCTGTTTTTCAACAGTTGTTGTGTGCCTTCAAATCATTTCTGACTTATGCGACCCTAAGCCAACCCTATCACGGGGTTTTCTTGGCAAGATTTGTTCAGAGGGTTTGCCATGACCTTCCCTCTGGCCTAAGACAGTGTGACTTACCCAAGGTCACCCAGTGAGTTTACATGGCCAAACAGGGATTTGAACCCTGATTAACAGAATCACAGTCAAACACTCAAACCACTACCCCACACTGGCTCTCATTTTCAAGAGTAGCTATTTATAACTTAGATATTGTTTCCCTCCTCCTTCCCCCTTTCTGTCTAGGCCCTTGTTATATAAGAACTGTTTTTAATGTTTCCCATCATAAGGCTTCTGAAGTGGAATCTGATTTATTTTCTATAGAAAACTTTGTAATAGCATTTTCAACTTTTCCCTTAATAGGCTTTGGAAGTAAAGGAATTGAGTTAAATCTCCAGATTCCAGTACCATCATTTCCATTTTCCTTTACCCAATCCAGAATTATAGGAGAATGATCGGAATAGAATCATGTACCACTGTCCTTATACTGGACTACACTGCACTATATGAAACAGGGGTAGGCAACCTTTCCCCTTTAAGGGCCAAGGGACTTCAGCTCCCAGAAGCCTCAGCCACGTTGGCCAATAGTCCCATGTTGGCCAATAGCTCCTGGGGTTCTGGGAGCTGAAGTCCCTCGGCCCTTAAAGGGGAAAGGTTGCCTACCCCTGCCGGGCCTTTAGCTGCCTCTCTGGAGGCAGCTGAAGGCCTGGGACAGCTAGGAGGAGGAGGAACAGGCGCACAGCTTTTCCTCCTCTTCCCTGCTCTGTGTGCCAGGGAAAATGGCTTTGAGTGCCATCTCTGGCACGTGTGCCATAGGTTCGTCAATACGGATCCATACATTTTCTTTATTTATTTATATAAGGGATTTATATATCCTGCCTTTCTCCCAAAATGGGATACATCAACAAATCTTATGCCTCCCCTAGTAGCATGGACAATCCTGTTCATTTGGATTTATGTATTTCCATGAGTTTACCAACCCAGTGTTGTATATAGCACTTGTTTATAATTTCAACATTGCATCTGAGCTCTGAGGTTAAATAATCAAATGCATTACTTAATTTTTTTTTAAAAAAAGATGTACAACTTCTACTTTAAAAAAAAGATGTACAACTTCTACTTTTCCCCACTGCCCAGAGGCACTTTGTTTTTATCTGAATAAAAATTAGAGGAATGTGCCACTCTCACGGCTGAAATGGCATTCTAGAGTAAACATGACCCACCCTTTATTTCAGCATGAATTTCTGATCTTCATGTTAGTGTTGGAAGAGCACTAACTTAGAGCAGGGAAATTTAAGGATTCAACTGAATTCACCTCTGATTTCTTACTGTTGACTGTAAAAGAGCTTCTTTTCCCCTGTGAGTGAGTATCATTACTTATCAGTTAAAGGTGTTCTTGGAAATTTCATTCTGTGTGAACCAGGGAACTTCCTTGATAAGATACACATGTATACCTTTCCCAAGGACAGGACAAGTTATTTTAAGGCCAAGGAAGGTCAGCGGAGTTATAATAGGCTCTACTGATTCCACAGTTAAAACAGCCGCTTTCTTCGGTCTGGCTGTTTGATTCTTTCAAATGAGAAGAGATCCTTTCCTGTCCTTTGAAACCATCAAAGAAAATGAGAGAAACTTTTTCCAAAACCATGTGCATGTTAGGAAGCCCTGCTGTTCAGGATAAGTGAGCAGTAAACAAAAAAGCATGCAGCTTGCCCCTTTGAAAAAGCGGGGCTTCCATTGGGTAAAATGATGAGTACCATCAAGAAAGCTGATGGGATCATGCTCATTCCTTCTGAAATGCTGAAATGTCACTGGTTGCATTTACACTGCAGAAATAATCCAGTTTGATATCACTTTCTCTGCCATGGCTCTGTGCTAAGGAATTCTAGGACTTGTAGTTTTGTGAGAGATTTAGCTTTCTCTGGCCACATGCTCACTGCAGAAATAGTCCGGGTTGACACCACTTTAACTGTCATGGCTCAATGCTATGGAATTCTTGGAATAGTAGTTTGTTGTGGCATCACAGCATCAGACAGAGAAGGCTAAATATCTCACAAAACTACACTTCCCAGAATTCTATAGTACTGAGTTAAAGTGGTGTCAAACCGGATTATTTCTGCAGCACAGATGCAGCCTTAGTCAGAGAGCTCTGGTGCCACAACAAACTACAGTTCCCAGAGTTATATAGCATTCAGACATGGCAGTTAAAGTGGTGTCAAACTGGATTATTTCTGCAGTGCAGATGCAATCATTATCTGCAAATGATGACTGACCCCACTTCCAGAAATATCCAGTATAGGTTGTTTTTAGTATCTTCCTACATTTGAAGTTTGAGATAAAAAGTGACAAGAATCAGGTTACTACAGATATAATGTTGATCTTCTTAATGAGGATTAGAAATATTGACAAACTGTCATTTCTAGTAATCAGCCCAGTTTATAGTTACTAACTGTTGGGATGAACTGTTTTTTGCCTAGAATAGTTTCCTATTTACACTGCATACTTGGTGCATTAAATAGACATATCCTCTCCCTTGGGAAAACTGGAGACTGTAGTTCTTAGTTACCATTTGACAGTATCTGATTGAGACTTCTTAGCACTTTGACCAATTCCTGAGGATTCTTTGGGAGAAACAATGACAAAACATCAAGAAACCGATATAATTTGTACTCAAGATTAGTAATAATTCACAACAACAATGTTTTAAATAATTTTAAATGTTATAGATACAGGTATACTGCAGTGAACAAAGTAGATGAGTTCCTGGGCATTACATCTTTAACAGAAACTTTGTTATCAGAGGTAAAAATGTGGACAAAACAGGGGTAGTTTCCTACGCCAGAGATAAACAAGAGCACTTCAGTAAATTTCAGCACACTTTTTATCCAAAAGTAACAATGCACACGTATGAAATGAAACAATCAGCTGAGATAAATAAGCTTTTCATAAGCAAGCAAAAACATTTTCAACCTTCTAGCAATCATTTGAAAGTTTCTTCAAGATGCACCCTGGAACAATCTTTTTTTTCACCAGCCTCCACCTTTCTTATGATTTCCATTTTGGTAGCCAAGCTTACAGATCTAAGCTCATTTTTTTTAAAAAAAAGAAAAGAAAAGCATAGTAGGAGGAGGTGGTAAGGCAGGCTTATCTGTTCTTCCCTTTTTGCATTTCGTGCATATTTGATAAGGGATTCTGGAAGGGGCTGCTATTTACCTTGCCTATTGCAGGCAGGCACACACAGCCACAGAAGGATTACTTAGGGCAGGGGTCGGCAAGGTTCTCTTACCTGGGGCCGGTCGCTGGTCCCCAGGTCTTCTGCCGGGCCGGGGGGTGGTGGAAATGGTGGTGCACACGCTCACGTGAATGAATGAATTCATTCATTCTCACGTGCGCGCGCACAGCCCCCACCAACCCCCGCCGCTGCTGCTGCTGCACCGCCACCGCGTGCTGCGCGGCTGCCATTTTGTTTGCCAAAATTACTGCGCATGCGCGAACGGGTCACGGCCGGCATTTTGGCAAACAAAATGGCGACTGCGATGTGCATGGAGGCGATGCAGCGGGAGTGTGCGCGGCGGCAGCGGGGGTCAGCGGTGGAGGTCGGCGGGCCAGGTGCAGCCCGTGGGCCATAGGTTGCAGACCCCTGACTTAGCGCCTTTACAGACTGCCAGAAATAATGCAGCTTGAATCCACTTTAACTGCCCTGGCTCAGTGCTAGGGAATCATGGGAACTGTAGTTTTTTCTGAGACATTGAGCCTTCCATGTCAGAGAGCTCTGGTGCCACAATAAACTACAGTTCCCATGATTCCTTAGCACCGAGCCAGGGCAGTTAAAGTGCACTCAAGCTGCATTATTTCTAGCAGTCTGTAAAGGTCCTTAGAGTAAAAGCCTACTTTCCCTTACCTTTGGCTTCATTGTCTGCTGCTGTCATGCTGTTGTAACCCAATATACTGAACATCTATGTTTGTCCAGCCCTCCTTGGCCATACTCCCAGTGCTGATGCTGCTAAAAACCTTCCAGCTAGACAGAGAATGAGGAAAGGAGGGTTAGGGAGACATAAAAAGACTTTGTAAAAAGGAGTTTCTTTGTCAGAGGCTTTGTTAACTGAAGTATATCTGTAATTTAATTATATTTTCATCATAATCTTTTGTATGTTTTAATCTAATTTTTACAACTTTGTAAGCCATCTTGAATCCCAGTTATGGGAAGAAAGGCAAAGTAGTTGTAGAAGAAAAAGTTGCAGCTGTAGTAGTAATCTATTCTTCTGCTGTATTCTCTAGCTACTGATATTGAAAGACATACGGCCTGTGATACTGAAGATTATATACAATCATCATGTCTAATACCCAATAAAACTTTTCCTCTTCTTTTTGCCATTTTATAAAGCATATAAGCAAGTAGTAATCTACCAAAGGCATTTACATATTTATTTTATTGCTTATACTAAAATGCAAAGGAGCCAGAATATTTCATTTTGTTTGTTTGTTTTTAAGCTGCTTTTTATATTTCCATCTTGTTCTGGTATGACCAAAAGAAAACTGTGCTGGAAACAATTTTCTGCTGTTTTCTGCAATATCATTGTCCCCATCATTTATTGGTTTGTTTTGTAAATAAAATAATAAAAGACTAGTAAAACCTCAGTGTAATTTTAGAGATGCAGAAAGCTATTTAAAACCTTTACTTTTGTATTTTGGAGCAGGGGGAAGTAGTGTGTCTGTTGATCTAAGCAGGAAGTGAGGTGTTATCCTTCAAATGCCTGATGTACAGAAAAGGGTATTTCTGACGCATGACCTTAACTGAACAGGAATTCCTTTGCTCCTTAGCATAAGCTTCATCATGACAGTGTATCCGTTTGCAGCTGTGCAAAATGCAGGATTGCTCGATGGAGATTTCAGTCAGGATGCATTATGTAATGGTTTGGGCTGATTATTTAAGCCCCTAAAGGGCCATGCAAAAACTTCATCCTGTGAGTCAAAAGTGCAGCAGATAATTTTGCATGAAGTCCACTGCAGATTATGTGTAGGGACAATGAAAGGGGCCATGCTCAAGGTAAAAGTGTGAATCAGGACTTGATCTGGCATATTGACATAAGACTCATTCATTCATTCATTCATTCGTTGTTTTCATTCCCCTTAAGCCAGGGGTAGGCAACCTAAGGCCCGGGGGCCGGATGCGGCCCCTG